CTGTGAGAGCTGAGCTGCCTTCAGACTCCATTCACCCCACCCTCCTCCTCCTCCACCTATCCATCCTGCCTGCTCACAAAACCATGACCTTCACAATTTATAGAGAGGAAACCCCCGAGAGTCACGTCATATTTTAAAACATCCTCCTCTCCTTCTTCTTCTCCTTCTTCTTCTTCTCTCCCTGCTGCCACAATAGAGTCTTGATAAGCTGTATTTACACGGAGGCCTGTTATGATCTACTGCTTTTGTTTGACTCTGATAGATATTCTGATGTCGAGAGAAGAGGAGGGAAAAAAAGTCTCCCGTAAATGTCTAGCATGCCACTTTCTTTTTATATTTACATACAAATATGCAAATACTGATGATAATAATAATAACAATATTATTAATAATAATGGGGTAAGAATAACGATGACTAGTAAAAGAATAACTAAAATAGTTGCGTCAACCTTAGTTATAGTGCGTTTGAAAAAAATCTGTACAATTGCTGTAAAATGAATTCAAAACAAACAAAAATAAATTACGAATAAATGAAATTATAAACAAAACTATTTACTTAATTACTAATAAATAATTCAGAATAAATTACAAATAACTCACAAATAAAACTAGATTTATGATAATAAAATATACTATTATTATTAGTTTGCGGAATGTATATTAAATTGTAAATATAGTAAAATAAAAATTTTTAAAAATGGGGAATTATCTTCACACAAAAATTGAAACTGACCCTGTAGCAGCTCCCACAATTTCTCGTAAAATTTCCACGATGACAGCCCGACAACCGGGACACGAGTGGGGTGAAATAAAGCGCCATGGTGGCTGGAAATCCTACCCACTGTTAATGACGATCAGAAGTCAGAAGACGGGGATAGGTTTTTCTGAGCGTCTCTCTCTCCCTCTCCCTCTCTTCTGCAGCACACATAAATCCATGTAGACGTGGAAGCGGAAGGCTCCCTGCGGAGAGCAGCTCTGAATAATCCATATTCATGCGCCCGACACGTGGAGTAAATATGAACGTGGTGGTTTTTGGGGTGGGTGTGTGGTTGGGTGGGTGGGTGGGTGGAGGGTTTGAAGGGAGAATCCAGTTGTGCGTATGCACATTTTCACCAGGTCAGAGGGCGAGACCGGCACCCACCTGCCCCATAGGTGTGCTTTCAGAGAAAGTGGAGCCAAGAAAGTGAGGAAGTTGTGCGGGGCCTTGTTAAAAGTAGAAACCCTGTGCGTGGTAAATGCGCTCAAAACCTCTGAAACAGGGTGGGTATAAATATGATTTCAGAGGTGCGTATTATTAATTTAAAAACAGTAAAAACGTTATGAAAAACAAACCCAAACACCTGTAAGTCTGGGTGGATGTATTCAAGCGTGAACGTCGCAGTCAAATAGACTGTATTTATTTTTATTCAAACAGAAGCATTTACTGAAATATGAATCTCATTAAGTAACTGTTTTTTTTTATTAGATTTCTTGCGCTCAAGCAGACTTTGCGTGTATGTGTGTGTGTCGGCGGCTGATTGAAGGCCCATGAAATATTTATCATCAAAAGTTTGGATTTATAGGAAAAATCTGGAGTCCCTCCACCCGCCCTCCACCCTGCTGAAGCCTGGTTTTAAAGAGCGCATAGCTGTGACAACGAGCGGCTTTAATTAGCGCGGACGGGCGAGGCGAGCCTGTCGGGCCACCGTCGTCCCCAGAATCAATAGCGGGGAAAGCGAAGCGCTCCCAGCTCCCGGGGCCTACCGGTGCGCGCACGCACACCTACATGCATGCACACCCGCGTGCTACTGCTGCCAACACGGCTATGAAAACCCATGAAAAAGGCAAAGCTGTTGGAGAATAGGCGGATCAAAACCCATTATGAGATTTGAAACTCTTTTTTTCCCCCTCCTGTGTGTGTTTCTTGTGTCGCCCTTTGGTTAAAAATGTCTCTCTAGATTGGGATATTTGTGCAAGAGCAAACTGTTGGATGCTCTCAAAGCTATTTTTCTTCTTCTTCCTCTTCTTTGTGTGTGTCTGTGTCTTTTTTTTGGTTGGAATCCATAAACGCAATGTAAACGCACAAGTGTGGGATTTGTTGCAGAGGAACCTCGATTGTTCCTGCCTGTGCTGAAGGTCTTATCTCGGCGAGTCACGTGACTTACTCTTTGGGTTTTTTTTTTTTTTATGCAGAGGAGCACAGGAACTGCATGCATAATGAGCGCGTGCAATAGGTAGGCCAAACTAGAACCTCGCGGTATTTTATTTTTATTTTATTTTAATGTTTACTGTCTCATAAGCACGCCCACATATTTATTTATTTATTTGTAATTTAAACACAATTAAACAAGCAGCCCGGCACCTTTTAAAATATTTTAATTAATTATATTATTTTTTAAAAGGCAAAAATGCACGAGAGAGGGTGTAAAGTTTTTTTTTGTTTGTTTTGTTTTTGCTGGCTTCACGTGCAGCAGCGTGCCTCCTCTGCTGCCACTTTTACTAATGGAGACAAAGAAAAATGATGCCCACTTCTCTCTATATCATTGAATTCAGTTGCTAAGCAACTAGTATAGGGAAATCATCCGCGAAATTCAAAATCCTGCAGCGCGAGGACACGTTTGGTGAGTTTTTGCTGAATAGGCGAGCAAGACAACTCCAGAAAAAAAAGTGAAATAAACAAAATATCTATATATTTTGTATATTTTCAGTACAAATTAAAAAAAAAAGTTTGAAAGACAGGGACACGTTTTCATGGTGATAAAATTTGCATGATAACAACAACAATAATAAAAATAATTTAGATTTACTACAGGAAGATAAACATTACAAGATGCTTTTTTTGGTCTGCGCAGGCGCTATTAGTGATATTGTTTGGCTGGTATATTTCCCTGTCAGACTGCACCGTGCTGAGCTGTGGACACACTCGGTGCTTAAAAACCTCAGTGACCCACTGCCCCGGATCCTAAAACAACATGTCAGCCTCACCGGGTTTATGAAGCCCGTGGACCCAAACACACCTGCACAGCGAGGGGCAGAGGAGAGCCAGGCAGCCGGCTTATAAAGTCTAACTTAAGGAAATCATTGTGCGGATTAGCCTCTTGTAATGTTGAGCAGAATTAAAGCAGGAGGATGAAAAAAAAATCCCCAAACATGATGCTGAGTGTGTTTATCTGGACTGCGAGCTTAAATATTACATAACACACAACCCCAGAACATCAGGAGGCTCCACACAGCAGCGACACTAACCCACAGCGCCCTACTGTACCTGTATCACACACACACACACACACACACACACACACACACACACACACACACACACACACACACACACACATATGTATATATATATGTGTGTGTGTGAATATACAAAACAGCAGAATTACTGTAAAACCACAGTCGTTTGTTTTAAAACTACACAATAGAGACACTCGTTTTAATCCTATTTACTTATTTCTGTTTTAAATATAAGTAGGAACCATTTCCCAGCCTGAAGGCTAACTTTCCTGCTTTTTGCGCAGGCCCTGAAGAGGCAGCAGATGTAAACAAACAGCCAGACGAGCACATGCACTGTGCAGGCCTGCAGCTGACCGCGATGTTCCACTCACACACACACACAGTTAAGGCATGATGACGATGATGAGAACACTACTGCACCTTTACCCCATCATCACGCACTCTTACTACATCAACAAATCCCGGCGCTGTTTTTTTTTTTTTAAATAAATGAATCCCGCGTTTTATTATTATTCTGCAGCTGTGCACGCAAATAACAGCATCTGGATTATTTTTGAGCTTTTGTGTTAAATACATGAGTAAATAAAAGTGGAAAACACAACATGACTGCGTTTCATTCTAACAAATTTATTGTGTCTCAATCAGCTCGTACGGAACCACTACTGAAATTAAATTACAATCAAACTGATCACATCAAAATATACCCTTATTACCTAACAACGGTCAGCTTATGGTGATTTGTGCTCCTTTAGAAAACAAAATTAAACAAATAAGGGCAATTTTTTTATATATATGTAAATATATATACATATATATTTACACATATTTTTTTTAAAAAAAAACAAAACAATAAAAACAAGAGAGGGGAAAGCATCTTACACAAGTTCCTTGAGGAGGAGGAAGGGGTGGGGAGGGTGGGGGGCAAGAAAAATAAATTACCGTGTTGAAAGTATTCCCAATAAAATATTAAAACAAGTCATTTTTGGATGAAAAATATAAAGTAAATAACTCAGATCAGTATCTGATCTAGTGATCTATATTGCCGCCTTTACAGTTTTTTTTCATTTTCTTTTCTTTTTGTTTATTAAAACCTACCAAAGAATACTGCTTACAAAGGGCAGCATTAATAGGATATCCACAGCACCCACTCAGTCACACTTGGCAACAGAATTTTTTTTCTTTTTTTGTCCTTTTTCTCTCAAAGAAGTGCAGCTGGAGTCTTTTGCAAATGTCTCTATTTGTTGATGAGGGGGGAAAAATATATATATATGTGTTTTTATATGAAGAAGAAAAAATCCACTCGTGGTGTCCATTAAATAATAATAATAATAATATTAATAATAATAATAATAGGTAGAATCGAAGAAGCTCCCACGTGAAGGATTTTGTATTTTTTTTTTCAGGTCAGTCCTGGTCCTGCTCGTCTTTTCTTTCTCGTGAGGGGCCTCAAAGATGGCAAACAAAAAAGGGAAGGAGAAGAAAAAAAAATATCCCTAATTCTCCATAAGTGAAACCATGCAGTCCACCTCAAAAAGAAGCTGCAAATGATAAAGGAAGCCTCGTGGATGTCACTCTTCTTCACACAGTTGCAGTTTTTACCCCCCCTCCTGTCTCTCTTGTTATTGTTGGGCATGGAGAAGTAGAAAGGGGCGGTTCAGTCCCATTTCTGAATATACAAAAAAATAATTAAAATGTAAAAGCCCCAAAAAGAAAAAAAGAGCGTCCTTTGTTGTTTCTTCAGTCAAACACAGGAAAATGAGAAATGAGGGGTGATATTTTTTAATTTGTCCTTTTTTGTTTTATGGGGATTTGGAGGGACAGAGAATTTTCTTTTTCTTTCGTTCTTTTTTTTTAAACGGAATCATCATCGTCATAATCATAGTAATAATAATGATAATAATAATAAAAAATACTTGGGTTTCCTCTTGGTTGTTGTCTCAATGCGCCAAAATTACCTGGTGGAATGAACTTGTGGTTGTCACCCTCTGGTCGCTCGCTTCACTTGCATCATCTTTTAAGTAATCTACTAAAAAATGCCCCTGAAAGAAAAAAGCAGAAGGAACCTTTTAGGTAAAGACATTTCTTTAAGGGCCTGGAAGAAGAGAGGGGGGAGGACACAAAAAGAAAAAAAGAAGGGAAGGGGTGAAGGTTTTTTGTTTCTGGTGAAAAATAGATAACACATTTTTGTTTTTTTGTATTTTTCTTGTTTTTGTTTTGCAGTCTCATTCATATTCCCTCACAATCACAGTATCAAAAAAATGTTTTTTGCTGTCTTTTTTCTGTTTTTTTGTCTATCTTGGCGATAGACTGTATGGTGTTGCTTTTATGTCCTAAACAGTTTTAATTTGATATAAAATATTCTGCTGTGCTGTTTCTATGTTTCACTGAACATTCGTTTGCAGTCCATGGAGGGGGGCGGTGTTTCTGCACTCACATTGCCGACCTGAGAGTACACATCCTCCGGCGTCTGCGCCACTCCCGGGGGCGTCATCCGTTTTTCCTTCTGTCTCCTATTGCAAAACCACACTCTAACCACCTCCTTCTCCAGCTGCAAGTTGTCCGCCAGGCTGCTGATCTCCTGGGCCGAGGGCTTGGGGCATTTTAGAAAGTGGCTCTCCAGAGCCCCCTTGACGCTCACCTCGATGGACGTGCGCTTCTTTCGCTTCCTCCCCTGCGCCGCGATCTTGTCGATGCTGGTAGGGCTGCCCGTGGAAGAGTCGGCCTCCTCGAGCCACTTGTTCAACAAAGGCTTCAGCTTGCACATGTTCTTGAAGCTGAGCTGCAGAGCCTCGAACCTGCAAATGGTGGTCTGCGAGAAGACGTTCCCATACAGGGTGCCCAGAGCCAGGCCCACGTCTGCTTGCGTGAAGCCCAGCTTGATCCGCCGCTGCTTGAACTGCTTGGCGAACTGCTCCAGGTCGTCCGAGGTCGGCGTGTCGTCGTCCGAGTGCGGGTCGTGGCTGTTGACACCTCCGCCTCCTCCGCCTCCGTGGTGCTGGTGGTGCGGATGCTGGTGGTGATGGTGATGGTGGTGGCTGCCGTGGTCCAGGTCCGGGGTGTTCCCCCTCACCAGCCCTGGGTGCACCAGGCTCTGTCCGCCCGGGCTCAGCATGCCGTTGACAGTGAAGCCTCCGGGCTGGGAGTAGATGAGCGACTGCTGCTGCTGCTGGCCCCCGGAGATGGAGTTGATGTGAGCCGCCGTGGTGCTGCCCCAGCTCCCGGCGTGAGTCTGATGGGGAGCTAGGTGGGGGGGCCTGTGGTGTAGAGCCGTGCCCGTGTGCAGGTCGTCTCTGCCGGATCCTTTCACGTCCTGCTGCTGCGGGCTGCCCGTCATCCCGACCGGGCTCGACGACCAGGGGGACCCGGCTTCCGCCGCGGCCACAGCGGCCGCCGCTGCGGCCGCGGCGGCGTGCGGGAGGGACGTCACCCACTGGTGGGCATGGCTCAGCATGTGCCCCCCGTTGCTCGCTGCCATGGCGCCCTGCATAAAGTCACTCTGAACCATCTTGACCGTGGGGTCCCCCCTGTAGCCCCCAGACCCGGAGGTAACCGCAGCGCTGCCCGGCTGCATGCCACCACCTCCGGAGTCAGAGTGCACGATGGAGCCGGACGATAAGATGCTATTGGTGGGGAGATAAGGATTGGAAGCCGCGGTGGCCATTCCGTCAGCCCCTTATGAATATGTTTGTGGATAACCCCCCTCCCTTTCTCTCTTTCTCTTTCTTCCCCCTTTTTTCTTCTTCTTTTTTTCTAAAACCGTCACTTCTCTCGAGCAGGCAAATCGTATCTCATGAATTATTCAAACTTTTAAAAGTACGGAGAGGGTTTTTTTTCTCTTTGGCAAACACCATCGGAAAAATAAAATAAAAATCCTGGAGTAGAAAAAAAAGTGGATAAAATCCTCTCGTGTTTACAACATTCTACTGCAGGGATTAAAACATCCACGTCTTTCAGAAGCCCTTTTTCAAACCATGTGCTGTCCGGCTCGAAAGTTTCTGGCTGGGGTGAGACTGCGAACATTAAAAATTCAAATAAGAAAAACGGCACGCGCTTGTCCCGAAGCAAACTTTCGGTGGCCGCAGAAAACAAACAAAACACACGAAGAAGAAGGAAAAAAAAAAAAAAGAACAGCCTCGCAAATTCTCCACAGCGTACAAAGTCCCGGTTTATGTCCCCGTGTAGATGTGGAAACCATGAGCGGAGTGTCCTCAGTTCTTTTGTAATTCAGTCGCTGAGATTTCTCCCCTCGCTTTCTTCTTTTTCTCCTCTCTTGTTTCCCGGCGCTGTGGCCGTGCTCGAGCCCGTCTCTTTGTTCTGTTTTGATGTGTATAAACCTGCCAAACCGCAAACTCCCGTTCAAGTACAATCCAGTGGAACAGTGCGCGGCGCTGCTCGCGAGCCTCTTCTCTCATTCGCTTGTTCTCTCACTCTCTCTCCCCCTGCCTCTCTCTCTCTATATCTCTCTCTCTCTCTTCCAGACAGCCCCGCCCCCCTCCAACACCCCCCAAGTCCTCTACCCTCCCCACCTCCCAGCCAGAGGACGCGGTGTTTTACCCCCGTGCGTCCGCATTGATTGGTTACCCGGGGCGTGATTGGCAGATTTTTTTTTTTTTTGCCAGCCTTGCTCCGGGCGCACGAGCCCTCCTTCCGGCTGTTCCGATTGGCTGATTTTTAATTGCAGTCCAAACAAAACCTGGGGTACAACTTGGTAGTAAATAGTGGTGAGATGCTAGTACACAAACGGGATGAGGAGCGCGGGGGAAATAAAGTTTGGATAAACTGACATTTAAACCATAATCAAGATAAACGCTCTCTGGTGTCTTCCACGTGTGTCTTTACAGACAAATATGCACGTTTTAGTGGATAAGAAGATTAGTTTTGGGGAGTCACTCCTCTCTGGGACAGAAGTGTACAAAAAAGGGCTTTACAGTCTCAGGATTGTGGGGTTTGTCTAAATCCACCTGCTGAAGAGAGCAAACAAAGAAGCAAAAAACAGGCTCAGGTGAGACTGCCATCCTGTATCTTACATCCAGTTAACAGATGTGGACGATTGATACAAATATCAATAATAATGATATAAACACTGGTATCGATATCAGATTGAAACTAGCACAATAGGGTTGATATTTTGTATTTATCCTCCAAGTTCAGTATGTAGCCTGCTGAAGAGTGTTAGTTCTAGTCTTTTTTTGGGGGGGGGGGGGGGGGTTGGGGGGTGGAAATGACAAAAAAAACCCAACTCAGACGTACACTATAAAAGATGTCTGAACCATTTTTTGTCTCCCAACTTTTGTGTGCTTAAAATAGTCGTTTTTGTGGATATCCTGTGGCTATTTTGTTGACTCCACTGACATACAGGGTGAGTTTCACTTATTTCTCTAAAGAGTTATGTGCCACCCTACCTTGACCCCCCCCACCCTCCACACACACACACACACACACACTTGCTGGCCCCCATGTAAAATTTTCTAGCTCTGCCACTGCACGAAAAGCTTAACTACTTATTGTAGAAAGTTAACAGTTAAAAGAAAAATCTCAGTGATGTTGTGGTCATTAATATATGTTCAGAATTTGCAAATTGATGATGACTCGTGTCATAAATAAAGACACACTGCTCTCACCTACGTGCGGGTTAAAAATATCCGTATTGATCGGTATTGATATTGAGTCACTTTTAAAACACCTGGGGGTGAGGCAAGAAAAGTGGTGACCAAAACAAGGGCGAGCTGAGCAGCCCTTTACGGAGACATGGCCTGCACCGTCACTCAAGATGACCACATGACCCCCCCCCCCCCCCCCCCCAGAGATGAATGGGGCCCTTTGTGAGAGGACATCCCCCCCACCCCTCCCTCTATTTCCCCCCTCTCCCTGCGTGCTTATATACGCATGCATGGGTGGTAATAAGCCACAGATATATAGCTCCCACTGCACCCACTGGCTGGGTTTGGGCCTGTAAGCAGGTGAATTTCAGGCAGATTAGCGGCGCATGTCCCGCCTTAGCCCCCAACATCGCCTCATAAGCTCCCCAAATCAAAGATGACGCAAAGATTTTTATTGCAAATGGGATTTAACAGCAAATATAAGGCGGTCGAGTAGCTGTGTACTCCATGCCAGTGAACCACCACCACCGCCCCCATTCCGCCCTTCTTCTTCTTCTTCTCCTCCTCCTCATCCCCAGCAGATTTAATTTGGACTGGGCTCAAAAATCGAGGGAGCCGCGTGGATTTGTTTACATTGAATGGGCAGGCTAGGGCCCAGAGCCGTGGGGGCCCCCTCCATTCATTAATATACAGTGAGGATTTCTGTCTAAATTACTGCTGCTCAGTCCACACCGCCGCAGCTTTGAAAGGGCGTCTCAGGCGGCCAGCGGCACAAACGTGACAGCACATATGCAGAGAAGACAAGACCGGAAAAAGAACAGAAGAAGAAGAAATATGTAACATACATAAAAGAGGAGTCAGGGAAAGAAAACAAACCCACTCCTCTCTGATATGTGATGTGTTTATTATTTATTTGCTTACTACAAAAAAAGGTCCCCCAAGTTCCCCTGCTGCGGATTGGGGGTGGGTGGGGTGGGGTAGTGGGGGGTGGTGGGGTTCATTTATTGTGTATGAAAAAAAGAAGGAAAGAAAGAAAGGAAAAAAAAGGGGGGGGGAGAGGAAAAAAATCATCCCCAAGTACAACAAGAGACGAACAGTTAGTGCTGATTTTCATTTGCATAAATTTTCATACATTTTGGTGAAAATAATAGCGGAGCCGAGCACAGCTCCTGCTCAGTCGAGGCAGAGGGAAGAAAATCTCAGGGAGCACCGAGTCGTAGGAAAAAGACACACAGATAACCGTTTCCAGGCTGCACGCGAGCAACGGTGAAGCTTATTTATTACCCCCCACCTCACACACACAACACCACCCAACACACACTCACACACACCGACACCGACCATCACCGGCACCAGCTCCACTTTTCTCGGACACGAGGTAAGTCAACAATCATCGATAACCTTTGCTTATTTATTTATTTGTTTGTTTATTTTTTGTGCACGAGGGATGTTTTGGAGTTTATCGCCTTCTTCTTGTTCTTCTTCTCGCTCGTGGCTTGCTCTCTTTCCCCCACCTCCACCACCACCTTGTCTGTCCTTTAAACGACATTTCAGCCTGCACTCGTATCATCATCATCTTCTTCTTCTTCTTCTTCTTCTTCTTCTTCTTCTTCTTCTTCTTCTTCTTCTTCTTGTTTTTGGTTTCCTCTCTCCTGAATGCGTAAAAATCAATATGCTCGCGCAGTTTGCGCCCCAGCCATCCCGTCTCTTTCTTTCCTTTCTTTTTCTCTTTTTTATTATTATTTTTTTTAAATTAAATATATATATAAATATCGGGCAGATGCTGTGCTGCTTTGTAGCGAATGTCCACCGGAGAAAAGTGAAATCAATCACATTTTTAAGCAGGGAGAGAGAGAGAGAGAGAGTGGAAACCCCTCAGTGGAATCCTCCAGAGAGTTCGCGTAGGCAAGTGCAGTATGAAAATGGGTTTTAATACGAATCGATCTTCCACTGCTGTGGAGTTTGTTTAAAGTTTAGGAGAGAGGAGAGAAAAGGGCTTAAAAATAGCGCGGATTTGAATGTGGATGACTTCAGATTTTGTCGTGTGTGTTTTGGTTTTTGGAGATCTTCCAGTGAGCGTCAAGAAAAGTTTTCTTTCTTTCTTTCTTTTCTTTTCTTTTTTTAAAATAAAGGCAAAGAGAGGAGTGGGCACAGGGAATAAGTTTGTGTTATATTTTACAGTCGAAGTTGATTTGAGGAGCTGCTGAGTGTGACTTTTTTTTCTTTTCTTTTTCTCACGGGTTAAAAAACCTCTTTCCCTTCATTGATTCAGGGGGCAGAGCATTTCTGAGCCCAGCGCTTGGTAGCCATGGTGAGCCCAATAAAAGAGGGGGAACACTGGTCGCATTAAGCTGTATGTTTGTGCACTGGAGTCGAGATGAAAAGGGGCTCGGTGTGTCCCGGGCCAGCAGCACCGGTGCTGCCCGCTCCAAGCGGGAGGAGAGGGGCAAACAAACCCGCTTGATTTGTCTGTTATTTCTTTTTAATTATCGCCTTCTAACGATGTTTTCTCATTTATGACTCATCTCAGATATGCGCAGAAGTTAACTTAAAATTAATTAGAACAAAAATCAACACCAGATTCTTGACTCTTCATGATTTTTATTAATGTAAATAATTTTTGTAATTTATTAAATAAATTCTCGTGTATTTGAGCTGCATTAAAGGCCTCTCCACCTCTCGGCGCTCCGGTCGGTGCTGAGGTGGAGGAAACGGTTTGCAAGTCGTTGTTGGCCTCGTTGATTGAGAATGATGAAGCTGCCGCCAGGTGTCGCGCTCACTCATGGTGCAGCTTACACTGCAACCCCCTCCAAAAAAAACCTGCCTCTTTAATATTTGTGGGCTTTATTTGAATTATTTAAGAGTTTATTTCATTGAATCACAAACCTAGTTAGCTGATTTTACCCCCCCCCCCGCCCCCCCTAAAAAAAAAGAAAAAAAAAAAGAAAAAAAAAAAGAAAATTGTAATTCTGCAAGAAAAAAATGGACCCTTTTACCCTCACCTTGCTGTGTGCCAGTGCATTTTTTCAGCTCTCCCCCTTCTGTTTTTTAAAGTATGAGTGACTGAATGGCATGAAATGGGCTTTACGTACATGTATACTTTCTTGCAATGCGTAGGTGCGTTCCCACTTTATGGCATGAATCGATGGCTGAACGGGGAAGATTGGCAATTAAGATATCGCCCGCCCACGGCAGGAAAAGTGACTGATTTCTGTGGGTCACTGCAACAAAGATGTGGTGCTCATTTGTGAAAAACAGGGGCAAACACACCATATTATATATATAATGAAATGAAACATATATATATATATATATATATATATATATATATATATATATATATATATATATATATATATATATATTTCTAAATATGTCTTAGACCTCCGCGTAAAACTTGAGCTTTCTAAGGAATGCTGTCTGTATCGATCCGGGACGGGAGCCTATCAGCGAGAGCGCAGTCCTGCACGGTTCATATGCATAGTGGTTCAGCCGCCATCTGCAGCCGCCTGAGCCATGAGTCAGAGCCATATGAAGCAGACGAGGACGCGGGGACATTAATAATTATTAGCAAAGTCAAAGGCTCTTTCTTGCAATTCCTCCCTCCCCGTATTGCTCTACCGGCCATTTAGTATCCAGTCTTCATCATCCCCCTCTTCACCACAAGCAGCAGCAGCAGCAGCAGCAAAAGCACTGGATGTTATCACTCTGCGTTATGCACCCGTTCTGACAGTGATGGTTATTGGTAGCAGGAAGCCAAGTTGCACAGATCGCCAGGAGCAACATTTTAAAGTTGATTT